AGAGAGAGAGAAACACAGAGAGGGAGAGTTGGAGGGAGGGTAGTAGTCTGAGGCACAAGAACAAAAGCTGCAGAGGACTGCTTTCCATCTCCACTAAAAGAACAACGGAGGAGTAATAGAAGGAGGAGGGGGTGGTCATGATAGTAGTGAGACAATAACGGAAGAGAAGAGGCACATTGTAGTCAGTGAGGACTGAAACCAAGGCTCTTCTCTTCTCTGCTCTCCATGTTTTTGGGGACTCAACGTACCATCGCCTTCGTCTCCAAACCCAGAAGAGGATGTCTGTGTCGGGGAAGAAGGAATTTGACGTGAAGCAGATCCTCAGGCTCCGCTGGCGCTGGTTCAGCCATTCATCCCAAGGTTCAGCCGGGAGTGGAGGCGGTGGCGTTGGTGGGGTGGGAGGCTACATCCAGCAGGATGGCCTGGATCACCGAGGGACGCCAGTCCAGGGCCGGCTGAAGAGTCACTCACGGGAAAGAGGCGTTGGAGGACTACGGAAGACCAACAGCCCGGTCCACAGTATCTTGGCACCTACGCCAGGGCCCACACCTGTCTATGTCAGAGCGGGTCAACAATCATGGCACCATCAGCAGAACACCATCCAGGGTCTCCAGGTCAACGAGGAATCCTCAAAGAGCAGCTCCTCACCCAGCACCACAAGGAAAGAGGACGCCAACACTGGCCAGGAAGATGTGAAGAACAGCACAGAGGACCCTGCAGAGGTGGAGGCCAGAGAGAGGTATGGCTGTTATGAGGTGTTAGATACTTAGGAGACACAGATTTATTAAAGTCACTTTGCATATCAAATACTCGCTCAGCAGAAGCCAGATTATGGGATGCTATTTTGGGAATACTGATGTTTCATAGTGAAGCTATAGCTTCTAAATAAAATCTGCATCTAATTGAGAAAGTCTGACGCCTGAGGCAGCACCCCAGGATTAAAAAGTAAGAATGTTTTGTTGTGATCAGGCATGATGAGCACAATCCTGCTTTAAACAGTAAATCTTACCTACTTAGTAACATTTCTGAGACTATATACATATATAAAAAATATATCTGCAGCCTTTTAACTTCATGCAATATTTGCACTGCCATTCTGCATGTAGATCCTTTAATTAAGCTAAGATTAAATTATCTGCACAGCTATCATTTTCCAATTTACTCAAGCTCTGCAGCTGCCACCATGGCTCACCTGGGGACAGCTCACTCTCATTGTCCACAGCATGTTAGGCAGGATAAACCAATAAAGCATCGTTTTAATTATTCAGTAGACCAAAAGCCATGTCTTTTTCTGCCCCCTTGTCTGTGTTGTGGTCCAGATTACATTCACTGCATGACTTTACCTTATTCCTCAGACTATTCAGTTTTTACACTTTACACTAATGCATTCTTCCATGGAGTTAAAAGTGGATAACGGGAAACAGCCATTACATCACGTAACACGTACTGGACCTATAAAAAGAAGGAGCAGTGCAATCACATGAATTATCTAGACTGCCACTATAACCACTTTATAAGCCAAAAGCTATCATAGCAAGTGGCTAGAGCAGGTTATTTAATTTCTTTTCTACCAAAACCGTTTTTATGCCAAACTCTCAGGGTCATAGATGTTTTTTCCAGCTATAAATCCCACCCCCTGCTTTTCCAGGTTGTGTTTTTTTTTCCTCCCTGTCTTCCGTGTGATCTTACATCTTCTTCCAGGAAGTAAACAGGTTAGAGATGTGTGTGTGTGTGTGTCTGGCAGAACACTAAAAGCACCTCACATCAAGGATGAAAAGACCAAACCTCCTTTTATCTTGTCTGTGACATTCTGAGGTGATTGGTCCTTAAGCTTTGCTGCTTCCTGCCTTGCTTTTGTTCCATGCACCTGGTGATGAAATGAACAGTGAAATTGAACCAGTTCCTTTGTTTAATAAAGAGCTTACTGTGATTGAAAAGATAATTCTAAATACATACTCTCTACAGCCAAAAATGTGCTAATATGGATTAAATGAATGCCACGGGCAGTGGATGGTCGAGTTCCCTGAACTGGGCATGAATTATTCTGAGTTAAGATACAGTTTTGACGATCCACTCTTCGTGTTGGCATAATTGGCAGATGTTCATGTTTTGGGGTCCTAGTGTGTGAAAAGGGCATGCATAAAAGATGTGCCTCACAGTAAAAATGTGTAAGTCTCCAGCTCTCAGGGGGACCTTGAGTTCATGCTGGCCATGTAAAATACAGCTCAGCCATCATATTTTGACAATGATACTAAAATATTAAAATGATTCTGCTCTGTTGGACCATAAAATATATCCATGGCTCAGTACTTGATTGCTGGGATATCCATTCTTGAATTTGATCATCAGTAAGGAAATCTTACTTAAAAAAGTATTTTGTTATGGGTTTGATTCTTTTCCCCACCCAAACTATTAACAATATACACAGAAAATAAATCTTCCTTTTTAAACAGCAGTGTATCATTAAGAATATTGACAGGCAGATCCATCACTTCCCCCTTTCATATAAATAAATTAATCACCCTGTCAGCAACTGTTTTACATAATTATTAAATCAAGCGATCTGTGTTTTCTGATCATTAAATGGCAAGAATGACAGCAAAATTTAGTTTGAGCATTTATGAGGAAAATACATATGTTGCATGATGCCACTTTTCAATCAAGGCTGTGTTTAATCGAAATGCAGTCACTCGATAACTGTAAAGGACTAGTTTCTGGGAATGATGTTTGGACAAGCACTGCATCTGTAGATGTACAAGGTTGCACAGTGAATTAGGCCAGTGACTGCACATGGCTTGCATGTTCATCGGCGGCTAAGCAGATGTGTGGATGTCACTGAGATATGCACATTCATTTACTCCACCAGCTGGGTGGCCCTATTACGTCTCACATCATAAATCCTTGACACATAATTTGTCACAATCCCTCAGGCTGAATGTAGAAATGAGATCTGTTGGCTGTAAGAAATTCAAAAGTTTTAGCTGTTCCTCTGTAGTTGGAAAATATGTGTCAGTCATTCTGTGGAACATGCCACTCAGTGATTAGTTTCATTCACACAATCGCTTCAAAGAAAGCATCCTATCAGTCTTTTATTGATTTGGTTTCAAACTTTTGTTAATTTGTTTTGTTTTTTCAAACTGAACTAACTGACAAAGCCAATAAAAACAGCTCATCCTAACATATTGGAATAAATAAAGTGGTAAAACTGAAAGCATGTATGTATGTATTAGTATGGTTAAAAAGGATAAATCATAAATATATATGTTCAAATTTGTTCACATATGGCAGGAAGGCTCATGGAAAAATTAGCATGAGCTAATTAAATAGATTTTTTTCTTTGTATGTTTAATGTTGCTAAATATGTTTTAATAGCACTAAAAACCTGTGTGGGTTCCATGAGTTTACTGAATAAACTCAAAAAGTCAGTGACTCATTTATGTCGTGATCTATGCTGGTATAATAATTCTCATTCTTTTGGCTTTCTCCAGAATTTAGTCTTATCTGACCGACCTATCTGCAGGGTTGTTAAATCAAATGAAGTGGAGTGGGTATGACATAACGCCTTGTTGTTTCTCACCTTTGCTCCTAATGCCCCACATATATACTTTATATTTGTTCTGTCCTCATGATTCTCCTCCAAATAACCTCTCCCTATCGTTGGCAGAGAATATATGACAGAAGTTAACCTGAATGGAATGGAAACCCTGACCTCTCCCACATAAACACTAACAGAGGCGCGAGTCAGCGGGCTTTTAGTTTGAATGATATCTCAATTCCCTCTCCCACCGCCTCGGAAAAGAAATACCACCACCTCTCCCCCTGTCAACAGCAGTAATTCAGATATTTGCTGGATACCTCATAACAACACCAGGATTATAGGGTCTCAGGTCTGCGTGTGACACATCCAGCAGAGGCGTCCTTAAGATGTTGTAAATTGCAAAATACAGTATACCTGGTGTAATCTCAAAATGACATCCCAGGGGCTGGGAGATTTCGTGATAGCATATAATTGATAATTGGTGTTCAGTTAGTTGCAATGTGCAACTCCACTGCTAGATGCTACTAAATCCTACAGACTGGTCCTTTAACTTAGCAAAATCAGCATTCTGTACACAGTAAGGCCACCTCACATGGAAACTAAAGATTAAGCCAGAGTTTTCAGTAGCCCCTCTTTTTGCTTTTGCAGAAAGCTTTGAACAGTGGTGAGATGAGATACAGCAGCATTATATGCTGGACACATTCCCTCGTTTCTGTTCAAATGCGGATCAGTCAGTTTTTCCTGCAAATGGACCTAATTCAAAGAAAATAACCCCTGACACAGCTTTCGATGAATTTTACATGAGTACTATTAGTAGGGGCCATGACATAGTTCAGCAGTGTCCTGAGGCACTCACTGTGATCAAGCTGAAAATGTTATAGTATAGACATAAAATGTAACAAAATCCCATCCAACTGCAGAAAGGTGTTTTAGAAATATCAACAGAATGAAAAAAATAAACATCTGTGGTATGATTTTGGGAAAATGCTAAATTATTGAATTATTGGTGAAATAATTTGGCCAATTTATTAAATACTAAGACTTTAAAGTCTTATGGTTTTAAGCCCACCATGCTAGATAGGTTGCAAATGAATTTAGATGTATATCTAAATACTTAGATCTATAAACATCTGATATATACAGACAGACAACATGCTACCCACTGCTTTAATAATGTGGATTAATTTGTTCACCCACTAACTTCAGATGTAAATAAATTATGGACAATCCAACAAGATGACAAGTTAACCTGCCATCTGCAAAGCAGTGAGGAGCTTTCTGCTAAGATCTGCACATTTTTCACTTACAAGACTCCCCCAACCCCCTACACACACACACACACACAGAGACACACACACACACACACAATGTACACCACATTCCTCTGCATTAGAATGCAGAGCTCAGCATTGTAATCACAGTTAATCTATGAACAAGGACTGAAAATCTCAATATGGAATTCAAATTTACCATACCAATACAATTTACCGTACCAGTATTAATGTGCTTTTCTTAACAACATGAAAAATAGAATATCTATTTTGAAATATATTCATCCCCTGGCACATTATTCCTCAGTGTCTTCAAACAGATATCTCATTTATGTGTGCAAGTCAGTTCTGCAGAATTTCATTTTTAAACTGGCATATATACTGGCATATATTTTGACTTATGATTTTTCATTTTCACTGTGCAAGATTTAACTCCTCTTGACATAGTTTCATATTATTCCAAACAGGAATCAGTATTCCACCTGCAATGTTAATTATCTGTTCGCAGACATTGTGCTGACATGACTTCTCACCACCACACTTCTTCTTTACAACATATACTGTTTTGGTAAAAGGTGAGGGGAATAGCTGTAAGAAGGCAATATTTCATTTCTGTTAATAGCTGTGGCAATTTTCCACTGCACTCTCTGACATAAAGAGCCCGCTGGCCACAATCGGAGCAGATTTCAAAAGACATGCTTCTTATATGCGGCTACATTTCCTCCATCATTATCAATATTAAGCATGTATGTCCAATATAAGAATGGCATCAGAGGAAGAAAGCCTTTTGCGAGCCTCTGTGAGAAAGGAAAGGTGCAAGGAGGAAAATCTATTTCTGCACAGAGTTATCATTTCAGTCTCACTGCCGGGATCAAGTTATTACAGTCTAGTGTATATATTTCTCCCTACACAAAGCCGAATGGCGGTACACCGACTGTCAAAGTACAGAGGCATAAAGACCTCATGGAATATATAGACTTGGCACATGCTGCATGAGGCTTTGTAGGAGTTGTTGGATTCTCATCCCAACCCAAGCTACTCAGCAGCCTTCAGGGGCAAATGGCTGTTATAATCCATTTTGAAAGAGACATTTCCCATTTGGCCCAGACAGGCACGACTTTCCCTCTTGTAGAGGGATGGAGTTGACACTAGTTGGAATAAGACTGAGATCCTCAGCAACATGTCTGACTCACAACCTCTGCAGCTTAGGGCTAATCTGGACTGACGAAAGCACATCTTTAATCGTCCAACCACTCTTCTAGGAGGGCAGTTTTGACACAGTATTACACACACATTATTATTATTATTGTTGTTACTCAAAAAATAGCATATGAAGTTTCCATTGTAACAGCCTTGAGACAGAGTCCTAGCCCTGACAATACAGGCAAGACCCACATAACCTCTGCTTCACCTGAGTAGCAGAGTTTTTTGAATCTGCAGTATCTTTTCTCAGATCCAATTAGTCACATTGTGGTGTGATATCTTTGGGAAGGTGTGAGGAGCAAATGACAAGACTTGGGGTGATATCTGTTCACTGAAGGAAACATCATGTGTACACACTAAGAAATCAAGGTAACGCAAGTGGACCTAAAAGGTTCAACATGCTTTGTCACTCCTAATTGTACCCTAGCAGGGTACAAGCACCGTACCTTTGAACATGGTAAATTTTTGTGCCTTCTTTTCTGTCCCTCTAAAAGAACAGTTCTGTACTCCTAGTGACAAAAATGTACCCATTGGAAAGGTACAGAATTGGTACCCTAATGAGGTACAGCTGGAGCAACATGCCCTTTGTATCTTTATGTGGCAAAAACATATCCTTAAATTTAGATAAAAACATTTACAATTATTCACCAAAATTAGTTTATATCTTCTAACACTTTTCAGTACCTTTTCATTGTATTGTTCAGCTAGAACTGATTTGTCCATAACAAGTGAATGCTGTAACGGCCTAAATCAAGTTTTGAACTCCGTAAGCTTCAGCAGTGCCTACTAAAAGTGCACTTGCCACAGGCACATGCCACAGCAGACTGCAGGGGAAAAAAATGGGTTTCCCAACTCCCCAGGGGCTCCATAAGAGAGGTACATGGCATAAAATAAAGTTAAATAAATTCAGAAAAATGAGTCCCCATTGAGGAATGCAAAGAATGAGAAAATTGATCGACAATAAAACGTTGATAATACTTAAATAAAAGAAAATTGGGAGTAATAGTAAAGGCTAGTAGAAGCATTTTACTCTGCTACACTGACAATTTGTGCATTTAAAATTAAACAAATGTCCACAGACATCACCTTAAGGACCTTTTTTGTACCTTACAGAGTACTTTTCTGACAAATGTACCTTTGGGTACAGAAATGATACCCCTGTTTTCTTTGTATGTACTGTAGGATGACGTCTGAGGAAAAATACAAGCCAAACACCGGTATTGTACTCCATTGTACTGTATTGTTCTTTTATATAGGCTAATTTACCTTCTCTTTATTCTAGGAATGCAAGTTGGTGCATTTAAATAGTTTGTAGACCACAATAGAAATCTATAGGCTCTGTTACGTACTGTGACTGTCTTTGAATTGATGCTAATATGCAATGTACAGCAATGTCCCTACAGCAGTTTCTCTGGAGTAAGGTGTTCTGGGGCTTTAGTGCCTCAATAAAATTGGGCTATACCTCTGATGATCCAACCCACTACTGAAAGCGAAATATACACCTCAGAGAAATTTACTGCTCCCTAGAATGTAATACCAAAGCAATTAGTGTCGGAGAGATTGGTAGGCATGAAAAATCCTTACAGCATGCCTTGAAGCCAATACAAAGGCAATGCATCTCAGTTTTACGGCCCAATTGCTTATTCAGTCTTGTTTGGTGTTCCTCGCCAAGACTCCGGAGTCAGTGGGGAATTATCGTGACAGGGCAATAAATTACTCTCATTTAGTAGAAAGTCTCCCAATAAAGATTAAACTATAGGATACTGCAGTCACCGAAGGGCAATATAAACAATTCCCCGAGGAGAACTGTTGTTGCTTTTGGTAATCAAAAAGGAGAAAGTCACACACTTGGCTAAAAACTTTGTAATAGTGTGTTAATCAGGACATCAATAAGAGCCACCACCCCCTCCGTCCTTCCTGTGTTATCAATCTTAGTGTATGCCAATACAGTGAGCTGCCAAGCATCACAGGATTTTCAGTTCAATTGTATTGACAAATCTGTAATTTTACTAGTTTATGCAGCTCTCATTTCAGAGTATGAGTGGTAATGAGTGGGGACATAAAATGTTGCTTTAAATAGCAATGACATTTTTCTTGAGCCTTACACAGCAGAAGGACCATGAGATGACAGTAAACTCCCCCTGAGAAGCGGCTTAGTTCTGTTTATGTGGCGTAACAAACAACCCTAAATGTCAATGAGTGAACTTGCTCTGTGAAGGACACTGAGTGACTGGGCTGCATTATTTGCAACTAGTCTGAGGGATTACTGGGATTCCTGTAAAACAGCATGTAATCTAGCAGCCTGTGGGGACGGGGGGAATCAGCCTCAGCACAATACTGAGAGGAACAGGCTTGTTCACTTGTTAAGTCCCTGTCTTTGGAAAACACACGTGCACACACAGATATGCAGACGCACACAGGAACAGACACAAAGGCATGCACATACGAAATTTTGTCTGGAAAGCTTTTGCATAGATTGTGGTGTTTGCTTGTCCCATTGGACTGGAGAGCTTAGTTATCCACTTATGCACAGAGTTTAGTCCATAACAGTTTTAATTTCAGCTTAGAGTGGCAAGAAAGATGGAGATGCACCGCAAGGAATAGAGGATTCAGGAGTGCTGTGTGTCCAAAAAAACCTTTTTGTGTCCTCAATAATCTGTTGCTTATCTCACTGTGTTCAGCTATTTCAGCTATTTTTTTTAATTTTATTTCATACTTAATGGCCATGGAGAACAAACAGTGAGTAAAATTAATTAATTAGTTTAATTAATTTGTCTCCCTAAATTGAAATTTACTTGTTTATTTCACCTGAAGTGTCAAATTGTTTTTTGTTTTGTCTGTGAAGTCCCCATCAAGTGAGCCTATTGTTTACTGGTATATTATTACTTAGATATGTTCAAAATAAATTGTAAGTGGAAGAGACTGCATGCAATCTTCTAAAGATGGCAAATTGCTCCTGGTAAATAAAAAGCAGAGAAGGATGCCGTAGTTCTACAGACAGCATCCATTACTTTGGTCTTTTTTTTAATCAGACGACCACTGTCTCCCTCCTTGCTTGTCTTCATACAGGTTGACTCTGAGCAACTTTTCCAGAATGAACACCAACTCCTCCGATGAGTTTTTCCAGGCCACAAATCATGCAGAACAGACTTTCCGCAAGATGGAGACCTACCTCCAGCACAAGCAGCTGTGTGATGTCCTCTTGATAGCAGGGGATCATAAAATACCAGCTCACAGGTTGGCGTTTGTGCTTCTGTCCACTTTGATTTCATTAATTACTCCTGCATTGAATTTAGTTAAGAGATACAGAAGCTCATCTGGATTCTCTTCATTAAGTTGTTGATGTTTGCATTCAGGCTTTGCTCTGGACCTCAGTTTGCATGCTGAAACATATGCTGTCAGTCCGATCCATCTGAAGAATAATTGAATAAGCTTTGAAATGCAGAGGGAGATTCTTTTGATTTTCAGGTGACATTTGACAGTAAAGATATGCAAACCCTGTGTTCACTGGTTTGCATCTAAATAATGTACACTGCTGTGATCTAATTACACCTCTACCCTTCCTCATTTCCACATTACATTTGAGACGTGGAGAAACACTCTGATCCACTACATGAAGGTGTCGATATTTGGGCATCCAACCCTCGGTTGAATGACTGTATTGAACAGATCGCATGACATCCCCTGAATGCTGCAATTCATCACGTTCACTGAGTGCACGCGCTTGCACGTCTCTCCACAGGCATATTTTGCTAGTTCATCCAGACAGACTCATGAAACAGAAACTCTGAATAGTCCACAGAGAGAGAGAGAGAGAAAGAGAGAGAGAGAAAAAGTGACTGACCTAGTTGGGTAAAATTATTAGCTGTCTGACTGCCTGTTTCAATGTGGCTTTAGATGTGCTCATATGACACAGCCAAGTAAAGCTGAGATGGTTTATTGACATAGTAGATGACACACAATATTATATACATATATATATATATATATTATTATTATTATTATTATTATTATAAACCACAGCGTTATGGAAATATGGGTGTGGACTGTTGTACTGTGTCACTCGATCTTGTTGCTTTGCCACATGATCTCTCCTTTCCTTTATGAATCAACCAGTGTTATGTGAGCTAGATAAACGAGTTAACATAATTAGAAGTCTGACCAGTGTAGCTATTAGCAAAGGTGAAGTATGTGGGATAATTCCATTCATCATCCACTGACAACTGAAGTGGGAACAGTAAGTTACTTAATTTGTCATAGTAACCTAGCATACAAAATGAAGTTCTTACAACAACAACACAATACTGTGAAGATATGCCCTTTCTTGTGAAGCTAAGTTACATTTGAGGACACGAAACACAACCTCAGGATGGTTTCGCTAACCACTTGAAATAATCAGCGTATAGAGGCATGTAAACCAGTGTACACTACAAGAGAATCAATTCACTGCATTTATCTTTATGGCAGACTGGTCCTGAGCGCCGTGTCAGACTACTTTGCTGCTATGTTCACCAGCGACGTGAGAGAGGCAAAGCAGGAAGAGATTAAGATGGAGGGAGTCGATCCAGAAGCCCTCAGATCCCTGGTTCATTTTGCCTACACCGGTGAGTGCTCGTAAAAGACATTCACTAGCGCTTGTAAGTAGTTATGAGACTTCTGAAATCCAGTATGATTAAAATGGATCAATAAGGTGATTCATCACTAGGCTGACTGACTGGGCAGCACGTCAATGTAATATTGCTTAATTTACAGGACAAAACCCCTTTGATAAGAGCTGTTTGTTGAAACTATCCACTTCCACACTATTTACATCATAAAATAGGGTAAAATATGATGATATTGTATTTGTTTTGCTGTATGAACTTGTTGATTCCAATGTTTCCCCCACCACTGTGTTTGACATTATGTGCATCTCCAGTCGTGACATAAAAATATATTTTGCTTGTCCTGACATTGCAGGCGTCCTTGAGCTGAAAGAGGAGACCATTGAGAGTTTATTGGCGGCAGCTTGTCTCCTCCAGCTTTCACAAGTCATCCAGGTTTGCTGTAACTTCCTGATGAAACAGCTTCATCCCTCCAATTGCCTGGGCATACGCTCCTTTGCAGACGCCCAGGGCTGCGTGGACCTGCTCAATGTGGCTCATAACTACACCATGGTAAGAGGGCGAATAGAACTAGATCACATTTACACAGCTAGGTGGAATAAATTATTTTGTAATAAGGGACTGCACTCTTAAAAGTCTTGGCTGACCTTGCGTGAATACACAAGGTTAGCCATTGTAATGACAGCAGTAACAGTATCAAGAGTGTTTAAAATTGTAGTTTAATAACCACTATATGTACTTTGACATGAAAGACAGCCCCCACTGCAGTAAATCAAATGAACCAACATAATCTAAGGTGCTGACAGGACTTAGCCTGAGCCATTTTTTAGTGCGTTTCTGATTTTTAATTTTCCTCACATACACTCTGATTATACCCTGAATAATAAGCATTGTTTTGAGAATTCTGTCAGTAAAAACAATACTTCATGAATTGACAGACTAACATAACACATGGCACATCAAAATATTTGTGACTGTCCTCTGTTTTGAGACAAGTTAATTTAAATAACCTGTCATAACCTGTAAAGGAATGAGCTGTTGTTGTCTTCGTTATTTATATCATATAATTTCAGCAGAGAATTGGATGATGTGCGCATTTGAATAGAAATTGAATATTTTCATGCTTTCACTTTATCTAATTTGGTTATGTGGCTGTCAGTAATACCATGTTGCTGCGCACTGATTAGTGCACCAGCAGACTTGTGAAAATGCTATTTATATATATATATAATATATTTATATCGGCGAGGAGTTTTTGTTTTGGATTAAGATTCATGTACATGTTTGTCAGATAACGTCTTGCTGGACCAAGCAGAAGTGACAGCGTGAGGCAGGCCTTATCTCCTAAAGGACATCTGCTCAGCCTGTTTACATAGGCCCCATCCAGGACCAGGAGGTTAATCTAATCATCAAACTGCACAAGAGGGCCAACTTCCTGTTCAATCACTTCAGTAATGAGCAGTGAGAGCTGTGGGCTTCCTGGAAGTCCATCCTCTGGGTTCTGAGTGGAGCGAGTTATGTTTTGATAAGCTTGTTTTTCCTGGTTGAGCATGGCAGCCGAGATTCGCCTTTGACATCCTTTTCCTTTATGAAACAGTTGCCCTTCTCGGGTGTTGTTTGAGATGACTGTATTTATTTTCAGCAATAAATTTACATTTCAGTTACATACCTCACTAAATACTACAGACTTTGGATTTTGTGAATTAATCCCAATTTTAAAAAAGAACAAAACATAGCTTTGCCAGCCTCTGTGAATTGTTGAAGTGTAATTCTTCCAGCCTCACTCTGATTAAACATAAGTGTTTCTCCTCCTCCTCAGAAAAACACTGTTATTACACAATTACTCTTTTGCAGTAGTTAAATCAATTAGTATCCTCTCCTGCTGATCTTGTTTTCCAAGCAGTTTACTCACCAACGAGATTGCCAGTATCTGAAAGCACATCCTTTTAAATGGTTATGAAACAAACTCGGTTGAGTTTTCAATTTAGTTGTCAGCTGTTGTTCAGGACTGGTAATTACAAATAATTGGTCTAAAGCAACGTCAAAGAGTTGGATGGAATTTCTCCCTCAGTGTTACCACCACAGATCAATAGATGTCCCTCATTTCATTAAGGCTGTCTGTGCTAAGCTCTTAAAACCTGCTCTCATAATATATCGGACCAAGATGCTGTAAATTGCTGCAAGTTGATGATCAATAGCGTGCTTGTTTTTTCGTAATTGTTTAGCATCTACTCTACAGTGAGCGCTTGATTTGTCAGAGTTATTACTGGTAATAATTACTGCTCAGCTGCCTTCAAAAATGAAACAGGGCATGATCAAGGACTGCTCTGTATGTCTTCCATGTGTTTTAGTGTTGGGTATAACATACTGTATATGAGGTTTTATATGGCATCAGCTGCCCGGAGACAATGTCCTTGAAGAGGTGCTGTAATATCGCCCAGGCTTCTGGCCAGTAAATGGAAGATCAATCTTAAGGAAGGCAATAGAGAAAATCTTGCACAAAACTTAGAGCTGGTCACGCATTGGTGTGATGGTAATGTTGGTTTGCAGTGCCTTTCTGTTTCCCATTAAAATGCTTGTAAAGGCTTAATGATGTCATGTATGATCAGCAGCAAAAAAGCTTGTGAGGAGGCTTTTTTTTGGAGATGTTTTATGCCAGATTGATTTGTAGCCTGCTGTTGTGTGGATCATTTTATTTAGTAAGCTAAGTGAAACAGATGACAGTTTCATCTGTTTGTTCAAAATGTTTGAGGCACGAAGAGTATTTCACTGTTATTTAAGAAATTGTTGATAGAAACTCTAAATTGCTGTTCTCTGTCTGCTTGCATCAATCTTTCTTCACCTCACTGTCCTTGAGCCACTTGGTCCTCATAGCTATAGAAGCACAAACACACACACACAAGGCTGCACCAAGCATACCCCTCGGCTAATGACTGATGATTATCTGCCTCCTCCGTGTCTTCTCTGTGTTCCAGGAACACTTCCTGGAGGTCATTCAGAACCAGGAGTTCCTGCTGCTCCCCACGGCTGAGATTGTTAAGCTGCTCTCCAGCGATGACATCAACGTCCCTGATGAGGAAACCATCTTCCAGGCTTTGATGATGTGGGTGCGGTACGATGTCCAGCATCGACAACAGGACCTTGGGGTGCTTCTTGCCTTCATCCGCCTGCCTCTTCTTCCTCCACAGGTGAGATAGCGGTTAAAGGGAAAATGTATGAAAAGGTTTATATACTGCGTGTTTGCTTGAGTTTGTAGCTGTCCTCACTGTCAACAGAATGTGTCTTTTTTTTTACCTTTGCTACTATAATTCTATTCAGGTTGAGACTTGTTGGATATATAACACATTTTCCAAAAATCCTTTCTTAATATTTATATGTATATATATATAT